GGGAGGATGATGATGTGTTTTTGGATGTTTTTGGAGAAAGTACAACGTTATCATGGAAAAACACCTACATACAGACCCTGAAACAGGTGCTTGCTGATGAGACTAGGTGGTGAGCCATGGTGAGCCTGTCTTCTTTGGCACTGAAATGATTTTCTTTCCCAGGCCGAACAACCTGCAATCTCCCAGGATTTGGACACCGAGCTGCACGAGGTTCAACAGGCCAGCCTGCCATAGCAAACGAAGCCACCGGTCCAAAAAGGTCGGCACGGAGACGGTGGAGATGATGGAGTCGGACATGAGTGGAGATCAGTCATGAGGTTATGATACCCAATATTGGCCCAGTCCATTGGCACATTCCATTGGCTCCACTTCTGCTTTTCAAGAGGGTTCCCCCCTCCCCAAGTGGCAAGGAAGAAAAGAACAACTCACGGTGGGATAAGGGCGTGGTACCTATTGGTACCCATTGGTTTGATGGGTTGTTAAACTGTTTTCATTTTTTTAAGACTCTCCGAATCAGAGCAGATTTTGTAACCTGGAAGCACCACATTGCGCCCAGTGGCGCACAACGGGGGTTCCGGCACAGTCGGTTTGATCTCACATCGTGGGCTGGTGTTGGCATTTCACAGGCGCATTGGAACTTTGCACGCTGCTTGGTCGAGGGCGATCCGCAAGCAGCGCCAAGTGAGAGCATGCCAAGCCTGAAGAGCATGGTGAAGCCATTCGCTTGGGAAAAGCTCAAGGCCACGGTTCAACGAAGCTTGGCATTGTGTAGCAGTTCCAGTTTGCAATGATTTGGTGTTCTTTTTGAGTCCCATCCACCGAAAAGGATGGCCATCTCCCTACTCTCCCTACTCAGCACGCACCCCGTGAAAACACGGAACGAGGATGGCAACCAACGCGGAACGCGTTTTTTCAAGAACTGGGACGCGCACGCGGGTCACGCAGTTCCAGCACGAACCATGGTGACAAGCAGTTTTTGGTCCACCAAACGTGTGATCTATGGACAGTATATTGACATGAACGAATCCAACATTCTATAAATGCAAAGTTCAATGTCATGTTGCACCAGCTTCTTCAAGGGAGTCTCACAAGATTGTTTTCGGAGCTGTGTTGGGTTGGGTCAATGTGTCGGAATGTGTTCGCAGCGCAAAAGCTGCCATGATTTTTTGCTGCAAGCTCCAAAAGACTTGGTCAGACAGAGAAGCCATGCCGAGCAAAAATACTTGTAATTAGTCCGGCTGTCTGTCCGCTCAAATTTCCACCGACTTTCCGCTGTCCGCTTCTAAGTATCTCCAACAACATTTGTGATATTTGCTTCGTTTTTCAAAGCTGTCCGCAATCTTAGCTTGAAGTTTTCCTCGCTAGTAGTAACAAGTGCCTTACTAGTAGTAACAAGTGCCTTACTAGTAGTAGCAAGAAGCTACTAGTAACAAGTGCATCGCTAGTAGTAGCAAGTGCCTTACTAGTAGTAACAAGAAGCTACTAGTAACAAGTGCATCGCTAGTAGTAACAAGTGCCTTACTAGTAGCTTGAAGTTTTCCTCATCTCCTTCTCACAGTGATCCTTCTGGGCGGCGAGGTATTCCCCTTTTTTTGGGGGGGCGGCGAGCTCTTCCTAGAAGAGCTCTCCACCCTCAACTTTCAATTTAGTATTTAAGTCTTCGAAGGTGGATGCGGGCGGCGGTTTCTATGAATGGCCGTGTTTGGCAAATCCCTTTTGCTTTGATGGTGAATGTGGCCACTCGCGGTCTCCACTCTTCCCACAAGAGCTCTCCACCCTCTTCACTTTTACCTTCCTTTTGGCAGTCATGGTCTGGAATGCCAATGTCACTATGTCACTATGTCTAAAATCCACTATGGATCCCCTAACCCCTTTAGTAAGGACTGAGTAATTATTGAGGGCTGAGAGCTGTTCCTGGAAGAGATGGGTATACGGTCTCGGCATTTTTGGGATTGATCTCCGGGACCCACAGTTGACCTATCTCTCACTGTCTCCTGACAACTCCCGAAACACGCCGTGCCAACTGTTCCGTGCCAACTGTTTTGCCAACGTCTCTTCGTCCGGCTGGAATCCGCGCCGATCAAAGCGGCTGGAATCCTCGCCGAGGATTCCATCAAAGAAGCTTAGAAGATCCGGAGATCCCACCCAAGGTGGGCGAGATCGCAAGCAAATTTGAAGCTATTAATAGGTGGAGGCCGTCGCTATTAGATGGAGGCCATCGCTATTAGAAACGAAGAAAAATGACAAAGTCGCACGGAGCATGGACCCCCGGATGGGTTTGAAAGCCGATGGTCCCAACGGTGTTGGACATGTTTGGGAGGTCGTTCCGTTCAATGTGTAGCTGTTGATCAGTTGATCCATGGATCTTGAGATGCTCAGTAGAAGTGGGGAGAAGTGTTTTAGGCGGTGATGGGGGTGGATTCCGGGGTGGATGTCACGCTGATGCAGCCAACTTAGATTCATTAAACATCATAAAACAGATTATATAAACAAAGGCAAACAACATCATTCAATGGAGGATCCAAAGTCGTCGACACCTGAAGCTTTCCCCATCTCCATTTTCTGGCGCTTCCCGGGCGTCCGAACGCCCGCGAGAACCAAAGCACCTGGGGGGGGGCGCTGGCTTCTTCGTTTTGGGTCGATTCGGGGGCAGTGGCGCTTCGTCAATCAGCAAGCAGATCCAGGTGATCCAGCAGATCCCTGTGAAGCTTCCAGGGCAAAGTGCCTGGGTCGTCACCTCCAACGTCTCCATCCACCGCATCCGAGGCGCCTGGGACCCGTCCGAAGCGGGTAGGTCCTACCCAGCGGAAGCGTTCAATTGTACGCTCCAAGGGCGGCCATGTGCCTGGGTTCCATGTGATTCCCTACCAACTGAGTGGGCTTCCTTGCATTCTTTTGTTTTATTTGAGGTCTCAGGTCTATGCACATTAACAATGGATCTGCGACATAAATTAGCCTTTGGCAGACTGCTTTGTGTCCTGGTGTGAGGTCTGTGCCTTACCCATCCAAGGCTTCTGACCCGAGGTTATATATACAGCTAGGGGCCCGGATGGAATGAACACTCCGGCACTTACATCGACCTCTCGGGAGGCCTCATATGCCCCACCCTTTGGGGAATTGAGTGATTTAACTCATACATACGATACTCATGCGAAACACCTGCTTGAGAAACAGTGACAGATCGGTTCGGTTTCGCCACCCAGCTGAGCTGCGGACTTTTTGCGAACTCAGGTGCCAACAAGGTTTGGCTGCACTTGAAAGGATTCCACCCAGAAAGATCCAGAACTGCGCCACTGGAGGGTATTCAAGAACGGTGAGCAGGGCATGGCCATTTGACCTGCTGTATTGAGTCGACTGTATAGCTTTGCAGCTGCTAGAACATGGAAACTGACAGAGCAGTGATTGCAACTGCAGGAACAAACTGGACGCAACTGGAGAACAGATCATTGTAGGCATACAATCGCTTCAATAGTCTTCAATGCACCGTCCAAACAATGACAGAACAGTCCCAGAGAGGAACATCATTTTCTCTCTCTCAACCATCCTTCTGGTTGTTTTAAGTTTCAAAACGGAACTCGAGCCAGTCGCCAGTGGAGGGATGACAAAAAATCATCACACTCTGGCACTAGCGGCCGTGGCTGGAACCAAAGAAAGGGGTCAGTTGGCTCAAACAGTCAGGACATTAAATGATTTTTTGCATATTTCTGCTGTGTAAGATTTGTAAGAGACATCAATTTCATGGTTTGTCCTAATATTTTTCAAGGGTCGCAATCTACTCGAGCCATACCCTGTTCCACACTGCCGTTTCTCAAGGTGCGAGTTAGGCTCCGAATCAAAGACATGACTTCTCCGCACGTGTGCCGAAAAGCTTGTCTCACAAATGCGCTTGAGCACTGCACGCTTGCAAACACTAGCACGTCTCGTGGCGAAAAAAGCAAAGGAGAAGCACCACAGCTGCAGTTCACGTCCTCCTGAGCCGCCCTCCCAGACCTCCCTCCTTTTTCTCAGGTCGACTGTGAGATAGACACCCTTTGGGTCACTTCAACACGGGATGCCACACCTCTATACAACTGGAAGGGGTGCGCAATACTTTCCTGCAAGTCAACTGATTGTGAAGCTTTCAATGAGGATACACGAAGATACTGAACTGTTTGGATATATCAACAGGTTCATCAGCTTGGGGCATGCGGCTGAGTTGCTTCATTCGCGAGTTGCAGCGGCTTTGACGTCGTACCCCAGGAGGGCCTCCCCGGGTTCTTGGAGTGTCTAACAGGCCAACCCTGAAGGGGTATACTGTGGCCGTCGTTCAGCTTGCCCTGTGACCTGACCCAGTCCCACGAGGCTTCAGTTTCTCTGTTCATCAAACGGTGGCCAATGCCAAGCGTTTGGTCAAAACACCATGGAGGCTCTTTAATCAGGGCACCACTCAAAAAGTAGCTTTCTCTATGTTGATGAACATCTACTGCTGGTGGCTCGACCGGAAACTCCGCTGTCTCATGGGGGAAAACCCAAGGCATCCCAAGCCCTTCCCGAAATGACGAGGCTCCTGGTTGGCATCCCACTTACAGTGCTAGCTTTGCCAGGTGGTGGTTTTGGATACATATCCTTGGAATTATTGAACCCACTGACTAATAATATGTTTGACTTGAAACCACAATCAGCATGCTTTTGTTTTGACTCAGGTTGTTGGAGCACTGGTTGGACTCTCCCACCTTAAAGTGGCCCTTGGTAACCTTCATCACTAGTACCGGTCATCAACGGATTTGTTTAAGGGAAATTCTACAGGAAACACTGGTTTTTACTTCTAAACTATGGGTGTGCTGTAGATCTTCCCTTAAATCAATTCTGAGTGGTCCCTCAGTCTGAGTAATCTTCACTAGCCTTTACTATCCGCTGCAATGCTGGCGAGAAAACCAAATTGTGAATCCCAGACCATCCATTTTATGACCCTTTAGTGATGTTCCATAGGTCTAGGTCTAGGGATGGTTGTTCTTCTCTAGGACACCGTGGCTGCTGCAGTCCTCACCCACGCGCAGCTTCTGGACGCTGGTCTGCACTGCAGTACCTCAACTCCTAGGGGGCTTGCTCAAGTCAGCACCCCAAGAAGTTGTTCCAGTTTTGCCAGAGACTGTCCAGGTTGTGAATTTACCCCTTCAGAAGCAAAGAAAGAACTATGAACATGTTCAATGAAATTACAAGACATGGATGCATCTGAGAGACACATCTGGAAGCATCATGAAGCATTTAAGGCCGCACAGTCAAAACTCTCCGGTGCCTGTTCGTCCAAGATCATCAAAACTCCAAAAACTGCCTGCTTTTAGGCGCAACAGCCGCCGAAGAGCCGCTGTAGCACCTTGTTGGTGGCACCCCAGTGCCACGCACTCGAAGACTTTGAGGTCGAGTCAGTCGGTTTTCGGTCGCAAGATGGTCGCAGGTTTGTCGGGAAGCCCAATCCACAAGGAGAGGAAGCTGAACGTTTTTTGTTTTTTGGGGTCGCTGAAAGAAGTTGACGGGCTGCAGTCATAGGCCATAGGGAAAGATCGGATCCATGAGGCTTGGCTTGGCAGCTGTCAACATCTCATCATGCGTGCGTGCCTGCGAGTGTGTGTGTGTGTGTGTGAGTTTAATGTTGGTTATGACTTGTTCCCGGTTTGGTGGGGCATTTCGACATGATGAGATTAACTTGTGGGAATCTCTCTGAGCAATCCAA